TTCCTAGCATATTTTTAGTAGTAGTAATATTTAATTCCCTTTTAACTTTTATGCATTAATGTCTTAGCTATATCTTTTAAAATTATTGTAAGCCACCTTGAATCCAATTTGAGAGAAAGGTGGGAAATAAATTTAAAAATATATACAATAGAAAAAAAACAACAAGGACCACACAACATTACACTAAAATTGTATTGGGAAATAGTTTGCCCAAAGGGATATTGGATACTGCCTGGAAGACATACTGGTTGATTTCCAACCCTTCTAGAGCTGCAGTCATGCTCTTGAAAGCAATATTTGAATAACCTGAGGTGATATTGTAGGGAGTACTCCATCACCTTTTGGGCTATTTTGGGAGTTGGATGAAATCTTGCTATTTCAGGATTTTAAAATATTTATTTAAAATGCTTCAATCCTTTTTCTCTTTCTCTTTCTTTCTTTCTTTCTTTTGCCTTAGCCATTTGGGTGTGAGGTGCTGGATATTTCAGTGAGTCAATGGGGGAGTCTGAAGAGCTGCATTGAACAGTTCCTCAGGGTCTTGTGTAGTCTTTGGACCACCACAGTCTACCACAATCCAAATGGTACAAGTGGCAGTGCAATCAATAGTTGTGTTAGTTGAACAGTCCAATGAGATTCCAGTCATTGTCTCAATATTCTCTTCAATACTGTTGAAACATTGTTTTTCCTTCCTATGCAAAAGAGAAATGGCATGTTTGGGTTTTTTCTCACCCAGGACTCCACAATTTGCACTCCATTTTTCCTGCTGGTAAGGAAAGCACACACACACTCAGAAAGCCCAGAATAAAATCTATCCAGTTCTTTTATTTTGTACAGGTCCATGCAACAAGACAGCAATTACCATCATTTCATAATAAATATTTAATCATTTGGTAGAGTGGCCCAAATATATGATTCTTTCTTTCTAAACAGTGCAAAAATCTTTCAACTGTTCTGCTGTCTAGCATAAGATTTTTTTTAAAAAAAGGTTGTTGTTGTTGCTGCTGCTGAGCACAAGAGAAAAATAAATATGGACTTACCTCCGAAACAAAGCTTTTCAGTGAAGCCAGTTCAGTTGATCTTTATTATGGTCATAGAACCACCAATGAAGCCAATTATCACATCCACATGTTTGAAAAATCTTACAAGTTTGGCACTGAGAGGGAACTTGGGGAGTCAGTTTCATGAAGGACATCTAAATAAAGACAAATGGCTATACTTTCAGAATTTCTACTGTGGCTTGAAGAGTTTAAAATTTCACATCAGATGTCAATCAATGGAGCAAATTTCCACATCTTTTCTTCATCCTAAACTAGGGGTAGGCAACCTTTCCCCTTTAAGGGCTGAGGGACTTCAGCTCCCAGAATCCTAGGAGATATTGGCTAACATGGGACTATTGGCCAACATGGCTGAGGCTTCTGGGAGCTGAAGTCCCTCGGCCCTTAAAGAGGAAAGGTTGCCTACCCCTGTCCTAAACCAAGCAAGCAGCTATGTTAGGTCTCAGATCCAAGGATGGTTATTTGGAATCTTGTTAGAATAAGTCATCCATCCCTAATTATGGACAAAGTAGCCTATTCTAGTAATTCCATAGGTCCATAGTTTTGCTTCTGTGTGACTACACAGTGATAGGCAATAAAATAAAAACTGACTGAGTACAACCAATCGGTATTGGTCTCAGTGAGCTTAATATTACTAATACACAGTGTATCTTAAACACTTGAGCACAACAAAAAGCAATTTCTGAAAATGAATTGTGTTCCAGAAGAGACAATACATCAAGCAACAGTAATAAAAAACCCATTTATCCTTGTGAGTTAGAGTTGTAGAAATAACTTATTTTATCCCTTAATGCTGAGGCCCTCCGAGTAGTATAAATACAGTTATACAGCACCAGAAGGAATAAAGAGCTACACCTAAACTGTTATTTATGCTTATGAAGTGTCAACTGTTTAAAGAACAAGTTTAGAGAAGTTGCTTTGGAATCTTGCCTGAGCTTTTGTTGCTATTTCAGAAAAAATGAATACCTAGAGGGGGGAATGTTCTTCTCCCAAATGCAGAACACTCAGAGAGAAAAGAAGCCATATATGATATAATATGAACATATAAACAAGAAAGATTCTACCACTCACAAAATATTCTGCTTTGTGCTGCTCAAGCATAACTCACACCACTTCTACCATGGGTGGATTGATTCACTTATATGTCACATGTACCACTTGATTTCTTATCTCATAACTTACTATTGTATTTATCTATGTATTTTATCCAGTCTTTCTACTGGCAATGGACACAAGGTAGCTTACAACATAGGTTAAAACAAAGTACAATTAAAAAAACTGTTAATGAAGGTTTAAAGACAATTAAATAAGCAACCCTATAAAATACTAATAAGAAACAGTTTAAAATGAATTTAAAATATGACAAAGCAGAGAAAAGTGCAGCATGCTTTATTAAATAACCCTTTGGCCAAAACCACTAAGCAGCCAAAAACCTGTCTAAATATGCTTCAATCTTCTTTGACAGTGGAGAATTCCACACTCTGGGTGTCACCACCAAATAGGCTAGCTTTTCTGGGAGGGGGGATTGGTTTTTGTCTAGCTCTGCAGACGACTTAAAAAGCCATCCTCGGTGCAAGGAAGGGAAGGGGCAGCCGCAAGCTCGGTGCCCCATCCCTCTCCTGAGGTCGTCCTCGGAGCGGCCGGCCCTCCACACGGCCAGCGCTCCAAGGACAACCTCCCGCCGCAGCA